CCCCAAAACCCCAAAACCCCAAAACCCCATGATGTCATTGATCTATATTAATACATACTATGATAATATAATACACGTAAGATATATCCAAAAATTATTATTATTCTCAAATTAATTCCTCGGCAGTCACTTAAGCAAAAGTTATTTTTTACAAACTATGTAGTCATTGATTATTTTCATTTTCGTAACCCTACTCGTGAATGTTCAAAGCTCTTCCTGAAATTTCCTACACGTTCTACCATTACTTATTCCAGACTAAAGCTTCTGGAGTTGAACATGCTATTGATAAATCTTTAGGGACAGTCTTTGAAGCGCACTTGCTAGGGAAATGAGATTCAAATGTTTGTCTTAGGAAATAGTACTCCTTAGTTCTTGGTGCATCGAAGGGGTATGCAATGTGTCTGTTGTTCCAGACCTCATCAGATACGAGTCTCTCGGAATGTTCTTTCAATCCATTAACCCAATCATATCCCACACCGTCACTAAATTGTTCCTTTTGTCTCCACAGAAGTTTTTCTGGTAGGAATGGTTGTTGTTCATCATCAAAGGCCTTTCTAAGTATGTATTTCTCCATCTTAGGGTGAGCACCGTCTGGTCTAGATTTGTTATCGCACATCTTAAGAGTTGGATCAGTGTTCATGACTACTTCAATCAAGTCACGGTCGAGGAATGGGCATCTCACCTCTACTCCACCAGCATGTCCAACCTTGTTGGCTCTCAAAACATCCCAAAGATGAAGTCTAGTCACTTTTCTAACTAGTTCTCTTTGGTATTCATCCCTGTTGGGTGCATAATGGAAGTACAGGTATCCTCCAAAGATCTCGTCTGATCCTTCTCCAGATAAGACGACCTTGAAGCCTTCCTCGTGTATCTTCTTAGTAAGTAGATACATTGGAACTGATGCTCTGACTTGTTCAAAGCTCTCAATATAATATACTACATCATTTACTACTTCAATTGCTTCTTCTACAGTGAAGTTGTATTCGTGGTGAATAGTGCCAAGGAAGTCTGCTACCTCTTTAGCAGCAAGAAGATCTGGGGATCCCTTAATACCGATACTAAAGGTGTGAATCTCGTCATCTGGGCGTAATCTCTTTATTATGCTGCAGATCAATGATGAGTCCAAGCCTCCCGAAAGTAAGAATGCTATTGGGACATCAGACATTAGTCTCTTTTTGCAAGCATTGATGAGGGTTTCTCTAATCTAAACAAATTAATCATCCATGTTTTAAAGAGGAGGGATGACGTGTTGCCAATCTGGATCATACCATTTTTATAGACCTCCAGTTGTGGAGTAACAGTGTCCAGGAGGGAAGTAAGTGAAGTCTTCGCACAAACCTTCGATAGCTTTCAGTTCACTTGAGATGTAAATGCTGCCATCTGAGTTGTGACCCCAGTAAAGTGGGCAAAGTCCCATGTGATCTCTTCCAATGAAAAGGAACTTTTTGCTTTCGTCATAGAGAATGAAAGCAAACTTACCATCCATCTTTCTTACAAGAGATGGCAAATCAGCTTTGTCTTCGCCATACTATTTATATAAATAGCCGATAGCTGCAGAGTCGCTGCTTGTTTCAATGTGATGATTGGTGTCAGTCTCATCTCTGATATGGATATGGTTATAAACTTCACTGTTCATCACCCAAATCAGTCTGCTGTTTGAATCTCCCACAACAAATGGTTGGGTGCCATGTGACTTGTCAATGACGATGTGTCTGTATTGAGCGATAATGAATTCGTTGTCGGTGCCAGCAGTGTACTCGAAGCCATCTCTACCTCTGTGTCTGAGGTGCTAAGAGTGTTTAATGATCTTCTAAATGTCTAGATTCTAGCCAAAGAATACTCCAAAGATTCCGCACATATAGTGATGTAATCAATTTAAATTATAAAGCCTATTTAGTAATACTCTAAATTCATTTTTAAGCCAATAATATTGAGAGTTAAAATCATTAAAACGTTTAATTTAGGAAAAATATGTAAATTATTATTTTTGAATTTAATAAATAAAGATAGGCTCTCGGGGTTTTGGGGTTTTGGGGTTTTGGGG